AATATAAAAAATTTATGATTAAATAGTTAGTTATTAAAACATTTGAAATTATAGAAAAGAAACTTAATTTCAAGCTAAAATACTTATTGATTCGAACCTGAAAAAATACTTAAACGTACTCAAATATTCACAAGTTTAAACACAAGTTCAACTGTTTTGAACTTAACAAATACTAAAACTGGAACTTTTAAGATGAGTTTGAACTCAAATACTTACTTATTAATTGAATAGTTAACAGCCATCCATCAATTGCAACAGCCTCTCCTAATTCAGAGGCTTGAAAATCACGTTTTGAGACCCTAATGGCTACAATTATTCCCTTCATCACAGGTTTAATAAACCAATAAAATGCCATCCCCATGTTGTTGTTATGTGCTGCTCTTGGGGGCACAGAAGTGACAGAACCCCACACCACTTGCTACTGATGGGGAACAAAACCCCTGGCCAGTGGAACAAAATTAAAAATCCCCCAGCCCCACACCCCATGATATGGACTAGTCTTGCAGAGAACCCTACAAAAGAGAAACAAAAGGAGATGGGACAAGAAGGAAAAGGTGAAAAACGAGGTTAAAAGGGAGAAGAGGATTGAATGGATGGAAAAAAAGAGGTGGGAGGAGGGGAGGGTAACGGGCGCTTCACGGTTCTGCTCACATAAATGAAGAAGAAGTCTTTGAAGAGTTGCATTAAAGAATTAGTAGACTTCATCTATGTCTTAAAAGGACACATATTAAAAGTGTATTAATAATTAATTTTTAAGAAAAAAATCAAATTAAAATTTAATATTTATCAAACACTTTATTAAAATAACTCACTTGATATTAACTTTGAAAATAAAATTTATTTTTTATTTTTTATATAAATTAATTAAAAAATAAAAAACTACATTTTTACGCCTTTAACATTTGTTCTTAAAGATAGAAAAACTAAGAGGATAATTACCTCTGACTAACAAAGCTAGCAGAGAATATTATCATTAAGTCTATTGCCCTTACTCTACTCCAAACTTGGAAAACTCAAAACCTAAACGAATTTGCGACTTTTATTTCAACCCATAATTGTATTTAGAACTCCTTTTCCTATGGCCGAAAGGGAATATAGTTCTACCGCCATTTTTTTTAAGGGTATAGTTTACATTTGGGATTGAAGAAAATTAAAATATTTTTAGAATTTAAAGATTTTTTTAACTTATATTTTAATAACACAATTTAAAATTTTAATTAGCCTATTTTCCCATTAGTTACTGTTAAAAATTAAAAAAGATAATATTATTTTCATTATCAATGCTGCATGAATAATTTTTATTAATCAGATAATTAATTAAATAATTGTTAATTTTTATTTTTTTAATATAAATTAATATAAAAATTACTTTTAATATATACTTTGAAAATATAAATTAGAAAAACTCATAATTAAAATATCAAAAATAATAATAATAAAATTAAAATACTTTTAATAAACCAATCCATAAAAATTATTCATTATAAATATTTAAACAGTTTTATAAAAAATCCTGATATTTTAGATATCAAGACGTGATTTTCACTTTCCTCTTATATTCTTAAGGAAGATTAATTGTTTTATATAGATTAATGTGCTTGCGAAATTAATTTGATA